AGTAATATAATCAGTGTATTTGGTGGTGTAACCCAAACCCTCAAATATAAACTTTCGTCTTATTATATAAACACAAAATTCTGGTCAACTTGCAAAAACCAGGCTGGTAAACAATTGAAAAGGTTCTGTCTTAAAGCGGGTTAAACTAATAGACAAACAAGTCATGGCTGCGTTTTTTTTAAATCAGATAGTTTAGTGAATACCGAGAAATATAATTGTTAAATTACATCTGATCGATAATCTAATTTGCACGTGTGCTATTTGTAGTTTTTAACGGACTTTTTTGCTTTATTTGAAAAACATGCTAAATTCTTAGATTCCTATGATGGGAAATCGATTTTTAGAGGGCACCTTACAGAATTCTAAACAATCAATAATTCTAGTAGCGTGCTTTACTTTTTTAAATGAACATTGATTTTGTTAGCAACACGTGGAAAGAAATTGATTTATTTAAACTTGCATTCGTGTAAACTATACGAGAAAGAAAATCCAATTTGTACATATTGATTTCGTTAGTGGCTATTGCAACAATTTTTCGTCCACCTATTGAAATACATTAAGAGCTAGAAAGCGCATACAAATGGATACCCCGAACCAAAGTGACATTATTAGCCATTAGATAGAACAAGGACAGACGATTATCAAACAATTATTGAAAAGCAAATAATTGGGTATGTAGAGATCGGATCTTAGTGAATAATTTGAACGGTAGAACCGAAAAGTTAAATTGAGATTTAAGCACTCACATTCGATGCCAATCAACCCGTTATCAATAGAAAAATATTTCACCACACAACACGCGAGGTAGCATATAAATTTCTTTAAATTGCGGTTCTATAACGTGCTTACTTAAGCAATATATATATAATTCGTAAAACTCTACGCAGTTATCTGATCCCGTTCGATCATTTAAAACCAAACACTTTCAGAACAGTTTTTGAATTTTATTAATATATCCTCTCAACTAAAACCGAATGACAGGGGGATTGAAAAACGATCGATTCACTTGTATACATTAATATGCGTATGCATAGTTTGACTTGGAGTTATTTTGGGTGATTGGTGGCATAGAGAGATGAGGGGACTGATTAGTTAGTGGAGGGAGTATGAAGACGAGGATAATAGGTAATAAATAGACCGTTTGACATAGAGTAGTAACTATGAAAAACACCCTGGGGTCACACACCACTGTGAAAGAAGATGGGTAAAGGGAACTCTAAGGGCCAAGCCCTCAAGGTTGTTGTCTTGCTTTTTGATTGGTCGCAGGGAAAGAGTCAAGTGTGTTTGTGTATATGTTGGCGGGTGGAATGCATAAAACACACATTGGATTCGAAATGCAGAGGTTTGATTGGT